ACTGTGTTCCAAAACATTGATTCTTATTAGGAAATGAAGCAACTTTCTAGTGACATAAAAATAATTACGCTTTGGGTAAAAGTTTTCAAACCTATGGCCCACAGAAATTGCAGGCTTCAGAAGGGTTTCTCTTTAACAGTATGTAATCAGTTTATCTTTGCACGTAGAAGATGCACATCAGGTAAGATGCATTCTTGCAAAGTGCCATTCCTTGAGAAGAAGACTTCAGTCTTCACCTTCAGATAAGACCCCACAAAACTGCATTAGAGAATATATCAAATGGTACAGAGACAGGAGAAAGGGTAGGAAAGAAGGGAATCTGGCCTATGCTTCTTATTCTGCTAGTGACATGTGAGCATACTGTATAAACTGCTCGGTTGCAGGGTTTGTGGGGTCTTTTTAATAGCTAGGCTGAGTTAAGGAGGTGAAAGTATGATTTGTGCATTTTGTCAACCACATAAGCAAGCTTTAAACTCACCAGTTTGAATGTATCTAATGTCTTTGTCTTTATACATTGGACAAAAATAGAGCTTTATTATAAAGTGACATACATTGTGTTGTTTTTTCTTCCTCTGAGATGCCTAAGGAAAGGAAGAGATGTAATCTATTCCAAGTCTGTGAATGAACATGTAAAATATAGTTATCTGACAGGGCCAACGGTATCTTTTCATAAAGACTTTAAGTAGCCAGTCTTTGTGTCAACTGCACAGTCTTTATGGTTGCAGAGCTTAGCGGGAAGCTTAGAGAGCTTTGCCTGTGTTTTGCTGCTTTTCTCCTCAGTGCCTTAATGCCTGCTGATTAAGGGGTGATAAATCTTTGTGATATTAGCAGAGGAGTCCATTTCCATAGCAAATGACAACATTTACCCGCCTCCTTTTAACTGCTATCACACACATGCGGCGGCTACTTGTACATATCATTGTCACACACACACACCATATATTCCGTACAATGAATGCTCTCTTCCTGGAAACCTGAACCTCTTACCACTGCTAGAGAGTAGCCTTTACTCTTGAGGTCACGTAACTTGGCAAGGCAGCGCGTTAATGGGTCTGAAAAGATTATCCTAGACCAAAATCGATGTAAACATTCTCCTTTCACTGTAGAACGTATGGGCTTGGATGCCTTTCATCTTTTGCTGTACATTCCAGATGTTTGTTTCTTTCCTCTCATCATATATAGATGATGGGATAGATAATGTACTGAGTTCAGATTTATGTCCAGAGCATGATGTGTTTGTACTCCGCTTCATTACACCTTCTTTTTCCCTTTTGTTTGGGAAAGGAGAAGTACCTTAAAAGCCTTTTTTTAATTCAGATTTGATTTGTTTATTCAGTGCTTTCCAAAAGCCGTCTGGTTAGAGTCCCTCATCCCCTTCATTTCCTCTGCTGTTCTCCTGCAATATATCTCCTTTCAGTCCAGGATGACTCTATGCTGTAGTGGTTTACTCCTTCAACTGCTTTGAAAAAGTTCCAGAAGGCAGATCTCTCAATTTGCTTTGGGAAGGTCCTTATTTAAAAAAAAAAAAAAAAAAGTCACCAACATAAAACAGAGCTTTAGGTATTTTGAGCTATTTTGAGAATTAAATGCTAATTTTTCCCCAGGTGATACTCTAATATGCATTCACTATTTAAGATTATGGGGAACATCTTAAAGTTATAATGGATATTTTGGTTTGTATCTTTCACTGAATGTTAACAGCCCTTAATGGCTATGTGCTATTAAAAAATTATTTTTTTTTTTGGTTTCGACCTGCAAGTCTCTGAAGCTGAACTACTGCTAACTTCTCTAACATAGGGACAATTTTTTTATTTTGTATGATCCAAATGTCTTTTGTTTTTCTGAAACAGGCATGTTAGGTCTATTAACAAACATCAGAATCTGCAGACCACAGTTATTTGTCCTTTTTCCTGTTTTTCCAGTCTTGCTTATTTGACTGTGAGTCAATCCAGAATAGATTTATTTTTTTTTTCCTCAACTCCAGGATGATGGAAACACATTTGATGCAAAATCAAAATGTCTACTCAAGTATCAACAAAAGGTATTTAAAGAACAAGGAAGCGTGCTCTAAACTAGGACACCATTACTACCATCTGAAAAAATAATTGTGGTTATTTCACTCAGTAGTTTATATTGTTACATATCTCGTTTCTCTTAAATTAAGCAACAGTATTGTCCAATAAATGATGCATCTATTTGTCGTCAGATTTGTAGAAAAACTATTTTGGAGGACATTTTCCCCACAGCTTTCTTGATTCTGCACTATGCTACCAACTTCTGTTAGTTTTTCTAAATTCTGCATGCTCCTGTCCTTTCTGTTCCTTGCCCTTGCTCCCACCACTGCCCGCTCTAGGTAGGGAAAATTTGGCACCTTCTCTTTTTAGTAGCAGGGAATTTTTAACCATTGACCTTGGCATACAGAATAACTTACTTTCTAGGCATACAAAGTCCTTGTGAATTACCATGGTGTGTAGCCTTAGTTTACCTGAACCCTGAATATACTTTACTTTAAGCTTAGCTGACAAATTCCAGAGATATGTTCCTCTCTCTTGAGTTTAGGAGAAACAGGATTCAAAATTCTTGAAGAACAAAAGATTACTTACATTTCTTTGAGTTAAAAACACCGTATACAAAAGGATGTATGGGAGAGAGCAGTTGCCTGGTGGCCCAGGAGGTGACCTCTCTGGGGTCCCTGTGTATGGTTCTGCCTCCCTGCGCTGCTGGAGGTGGCTCTCCATCATACAAGCTGAGCTTGAATGTTGCTTGCTATCCAGTGCGATTTGGATCTGTATATTGCATGCATGCTTATTTATTTATGTATTTCTTTGTAGTTGCTTGATTGTAAATCAGGTATCCCAGGTTTGTGAGGAATGAACCTGAGATATGGCTTTGATCATCAGAAAGCATTTTATCTTGGGTCCTTTTCTTATTTTTCAGGACTCCAGTTGAAAAAATGTTGTTCTGGAAGTTCACCATGTAAATTTTGGCATCACTTTCTGCACAAATTAACTTGAGATACATTGTTTTAGAATTAAGAGTTCAGTCCTCTGACTGGTGGTATTTGGGAAGGGCTTTGCCAGAGGCCACTGCTTGGGGTGGGACAGGCAGAGGTCCACGTGCCCTGGCTGACCATGCCGCTTCCTAGGTCCCCATCCCATGCATTGGGACATGCTCTTTAGGTTGGTGGCTTGGCCAAATATGCAGGAACCTCAGTGCCAGCCAAAGGTCCCCTGCTGTAAAGATGTCTTTAGCTGCTCAATGTAAACAGCCATCTTAATCCTTCAGTTCTCTTCTGGAATGGCAAAGGGAATTCCCTGGTGGGCTGCAGTGGAGGAGGATCTGTGCATGCACCTTTAAGACACTGTTATGTACAACAGAGGAAATCAGGATGTAATTAGTGCTACCTGTATTAACGGGCAGATTGTCAGTGTACTCTTCATCTACTCTACTAGTAATCCCGCCATCTCTTGAGTATGGCAAATGGGTAGAGGAAACTTGTCGTCTTCGTAAAATTGTGTGCTTGTGTCTAGTGCCCTGGTACAACGCGGGAGTTTGTAAACTTCCTAGCTCTTCTGAAAACATTATCAAGGCTTTTATCAATCTAGAGAAAAAAATAACATTCTCAAAAAATAAAACATTGAGACTAAGAAATAAATAAAATTTTTAGCTCAAGTGTGCACAGCAGTAGATTTTATCTTACGGATTTGGGGGTTTTATGATGTACTTTTGCAAAGATGCAGGGAATGATTGTATGTTTCCTCATTATATACTTTTTAGAGGATAAATCACCTTTATCATGGTAAATTTGTGTATCTATATATGACTGTATAATATATTTTTTAATTGTTTTAACAAATTTGACCTGAAATATTAAACAGCTTTTTTTCCTCATGATTTCTAAATTTCTCACAAGTTTCTAGATCAACTTACAATTTTAAATATCCCATTTGGTCAGGCTTTAAGAATTATGTAACTTAACTCTGGTGAAAGAAGGAAATTCATAAGAAATAAACTGTCAGGCTGAAAGAACGTTGCAGTAAGTGAATTTTCACACTAAAAGGGGCACGATTAGTTTATTTCCCTTAACAGTTTTCTAAGTGTTTGCAGTGAATTCAGAAATCACTCTCAACAAAACTATCTACTGTCCGGATTTTGGCTTCTCAGGGCTGTGTTACTGGAAAGCTGAAATTTATATCTAATACACTGTTGTGTATGAAAACCTATATAGTCCCTTAGCGTAGTATTATGCGTGTAGTGCCCAGCAAAGCCCTCCTCTCCCTGATATCACATTATACCTGTGATACGGGCTTATTCTGCTGCACCGAGTAAAGGACTGATACTTAAAACAAAAGTGAGTCACTTTAACAAGTATAAACTCCCATGAAATACTAAGGAATATTTTTTCATATATTTGCTGTGTTTCCCATCACAGTGTGGGAATATTATCTGCTAGTGCTCTTATATTCAACAGTATACTTTCCCATTTGAAGTATAATGAATTAATATTATGTTAAGATAATTAATATAATAGTATGTTGCAATAATACCAGTTTTAAAGTTTTTACTGTGTGCACTTAAAATACTGAAACTGGAATTATGCTAAGGTGTAGAGATGGCCTTTTCTTGTTGATCCCGACACTTTAAGGCTTTAAGGATGTCTGTTTATGTGATATGATGAGATTATAATATTGGGGAGAATGTCTGCAAGCCTTTCATGAAAAAATCAGAAGTCATATTTTACTGATTTTAATTTTCCATAGTTGACTTAAAGGTAAAAGCTTGGTTTTTTCTTGCTTTGCATTGATGTATTTAATTCTGTTTTTAAAATTCAGAATTCTGCTTTTAGTCTTCTATATAACAACTTTCATATCAACTTGCTTACATCATCCGAAACATAAAATCAATGTGGCAGGCATGCATTTGGTTTTACATTATGATATATCCTGTTTCCTAGTCTTTCAAAATTCTAATGCAGCTTTTCCTTTCTCCTTTTGCAGGATGACAAGGACTTGGTTCATGAGTTTGTTGTTGCTGAGGGTCTGACTTGCTTAATCAAAGTGGGAGCAGAGGCCGACCAGAATTATCAGAACTACATCCTGAGAGGTAAAGGAAATGCATCCAAAAGTTGTTTTTATTGCTCTGAAGCTCTCACAGGTCTGCTGCAACTTGCCGTGTTAAGTGTCTTGGAACATGTTTCCCAGTTTGGTCCCGATTCTTGCATGTTATGCAGGAAAATTAAGAGGGGATTAATATTCACTGCTGAGCAAGATGAATTGGAAAATTCAAATATTGATAGTCTCTCCATTGTCCAGCTTTTCCTGTAGATTATACTGAAAATTTGTAATTCTAAGAAAGAAAAGGCATTCTAAAGCTGTCACCAGGTAATTGTAAATGTATAAGGGCATAAAGCAAAATAACTTCTTGGAGTGTGATTAGTAGCTATGGAATAAACAGTGAGACAGTCATATCTTAAGGTCAGTTGGCTGGAAACAATTTTTAGCTGTCTGATATTTTGGAGTTAAACAGGTAATCAGAGGTTTACATTATATTCTTTGCACTTAGATAACTGGCAAAGGTGAGGTTTGGAGAGTGATGCGGAAAAGGTGTGTTACTGGATTAGAAAGCTGATTTACTGTATTGTGGCCCAAATGAATTTGTGTAATTTTCATGCAGCCAGGAAACCCGGGCTGCAAATTCAGAGAGTTCCTGCAGTATTTTGAGGGTTTATGAGTGAGAGGAGAACAGTCACGCCAAGGGATCTTTGCTGCTGCATGATCTCTTAGTAAATAGAGAGTGCTAATGAATGCATACTTGTGGTGGATTGCTCATTTGAGTTTTCTTAGATAGACAAATATAGCTGTCTTAAAAAATGTCACTTTAATGTGTTTAGCTGCCAAAACTGAAACTGCAAATTGAGGAGTAAAACAAATACGAAAATAAGGAGAAGGATTTTGTAAGAACCAGAAATGCTAAGTTATAGAAAGCAAGGATGCAAATAGTAAGTGTGGCTTCATGCAAAGAACTTGAAGATTAGACTGCACAAATACGAGCTCTTGGGGATATAAAAGAAACCAAACCAGTACCACAGAAATTATGTTCTGTGTCAGTAGTTGTGCAGTGACACAAATGTACTTGAATAGTAGCTTGTATGTACTCAAAAGTAAAAGGCTATTAACCACAATGAAACTAGACAAGGACGCAGAAACATATGAAAGAAAAAAGACTTTCTTTACAGCTGAAATAAGAAGTTTCTGGGAGAAAACTGGCCATAGATGCTCTCAGAAAATTCAGACTGTAAGCACAATAAAGGTGCTGTATAGGACAGTCTGGCCTTCAGTTTAGGGGCTTACTCCTTTATCAGCTTGGCACTGACCTAGTGTGGCTGGATGATGTCTTTGCCCTTCAGCTGGGTTTTGCAGCCAAATATTGAAAAATCAAAACAAGGAAGCCTGATAGGTGTTTACGCTACCCAAGCAGTGTAAAGTGTAAATGGCCTCATAATCAAAATGCTGGATAGCCCTGCAGCTCTCCTGCTCCAATGTCAGGTAAGGTCCAGGGCACTGAGCCTCAGAGGTGACAGAATGATCTGCTGACACCAGAGACAGTCACATCTGAGTGATCTCATCACAGTATTGCATGTACCTTCATCTTACTGAGATCTCTTTTGACATCATCCAGATACAGATTGAGAAGAATTCAAACTCCCTTCTACATTGATTGTTTTTTTCTTTTTCTTTTCTTTCTTTCCTTTTTTTTTTTTTTAAAGAAAAAAGGAATGAAATGTTATCTGTGTTACTAGGATATACCCTAATGCATCCAGAATTCAAGGAGATCACAGCGGTCTCTTTCTTGTTGTGTTTCTTCTCTAGCTCTGAAAAGTTTTGTGTCCATGGTCTGAAGTTACAAGATTTTGCACTGAATTCAAAGAATGATAAAACAGAGCCTTAGTGCCAATGTCCGCAGCATCATACTAAGGAAACTGCAAACTCATCTTGTTGCATTGTTGTTAACAAGTGATCACAGCTTGTTCAAAATAAATATAAAACAAACAAACAAAACAACAACAAAAACTAACCATGTAGAAGTACGCCATAAAGCTAAAAACCTTGTTTTAAGAAGAGGCTTTTAGGAATTGCTACCTTGTAAAATCAGGTCTTTTTTTCCCTTATTTTGCTGGTGTGTGAAGCTCAAGTTTCTCTCTGGGTAGTGTATCCTAGCATCTCTTAGAATAATACAATTTTTTCTGTGTGATGTGGGTTTTACTTCAGAAACTAAATTTATCTTGATTGTCTTTCAGGAAGTTCAAAGCTTGTTACAGCTCCAAGATTATGTCAGCTGCTGTGCAGTTCCAGGAGCCAGCATGTACTTTCTGAATAGGTCTGCATGTGCAATGAGATAAGGACAGGTTTGGAAGTACAGTGTAGCCAGACAATCTTATCCAAATACATTGAGGAGGGTGCTGAAAAGAAACATGAAATACGTCATGTAAGAGTGTTTCTGGTATATTATTTTTGGAAGACCATAGCGTTGGTTGGGGTTTTTTGTGACAGTTGTGTGTATTATTGCAGTACTGCATTTTACTAAACGCAGAGTACTGGTGAATAGGTGAATAAATTTTACTGAAGATACATCATAGTTAGCACTGAGGTGGTCCCAAAAGTTTTAAAGTCAGTGTTAATTTACACAGATTTAAAAAAAAAAAGAAAAAAAAAAAGGTGTCATTGTCTAATTGTCTAGAATTTTTGTGCCTTACTGCTGTGGTGTTCTTGTTCTGCAGATCCTTTTGGAGTGGAATATATTATTCTTATTTTCACTGCATTTAACCTGAATCATAAAGGAATGGAATTTCTCCTTAGTTCCATATTCTGGCTGCATTCTCCAGCACCTTTGTTGTAATTCACTGTTTTCCTGTTGCGATCCTAACCCAGCTTGCAGGGCTTGTGACAGTAAATGGCAACCTGAGGCACAGCATTGCCTCCTCCGCCTCCGGAGCTCGCCCATGCAGGGCTGCCCGTCGTCTCAACTGAGCAATTTCCCAGTGTTTCCTGTGAACTTGTTTGCCTGCTGTCTTCAAGAAATAGATTTGGACCTAGGAGGGAAAATAGCTTGGGAATATATGTACACATAAGGGTTGTAGGTGGTTCAGTGAGTTCCCAGGTACACATTATTTCTTGCGGACGTTGCTTTCCTTTTTCCAAAGGTCTGCATTGTTTCATTCTAATGTTTCCTCGATGTGAATTTCTGCTTAGTGGTTTTGACTTGGTTCAAGCCAGATCGAGCTGCCAAAAAAATGACTAAATATGACTCACGAAAATTTTAGTTACTTTAATGGTGAAATAGTGAAGAGAAGATAAGTGTGGCTTTTACATACAATACTGAGAAATCCAGACAGTTTCTTGTCGACTGCTAAGGAGGGACTGTTTATTTCTGCTCAGGTCTCCTGAACTGGGATTGTTTGACAGTGCCTTTCCCAAAGTGTTCCCTTTGGTCACTTTGTAGGCCCTAAACCAACAGTAGCCAGGACTTCTCTCAAGTGTTACTCTGTTGAAAGACTAGTTTGGAAAACAGCTTTCATTCCTCCTTACTTATTAGATCTTCAGCCTAAATTTATTCTTCGATATTCCTTTTAGTTATTATGGACATCTAAAGAAACTGTGTATTGAGGGATTTTTTTGCCCCCCAGAAACAGGCATGCTTTGCTTTCCCTGCCCCTCTCTCCTTTTTTTCCCTTTCGTGACGATGATCGGTAAGGATAATGAACTTCACTCATAGCACTGAAGTTAAAAGTTTCTGTCCCAGTTACAAGATTGCAATGTGGTGGGTGTTGCCTAAATATTCAAAAAGAAATGGAAGTGTGTGAAAGATAGATGAAAATGGCCACAACTGATGAGGATTAATATAAATCTTATTGTAATTTTGAAGATGTTTTGGATATAATTTTGAGATCTTCTGTTCCTGGCACAAAATGAGAAAGCGACACATGAAATGCTATGGCTAAGAACAGACTAATTAAATAATTTGCAGAATTATGGTAGTCTTCATGTTTTCTGTTAATTTATCCAGTGCTGTTGGAAAGGTGAGAAAGAAAAGGAGCTTGTGTAGACCAAGGCTTAATTGTTTTAAAAATACACTGAATAAGTGAGATATGAGGGTTCAGGGATGAGTCTGCTGAGACCATGATGTGAGGAGCTCTACCTGGTGGGATCCTGTCCTGTCTGTCCCTCACAGCCAATGAGGAGGTTGTCAAAAGGTTATCCAGCCTCTTTTTCAGAGTATATTTGTGTACTTGGATCCCAAATTGCCTGCTTATGGTTTCAAAACAGTATTTAGAGGTGTCTGTAATTAGATGAAAGCTAGAGTTCATTCTTGGGGTCTGAAAGCATAAGCCAGGTGTCCAGCCCAAGCAGGAAGAGGCCTTGACCTTGTTACAGCGCAAAATTTCAAAGAACTAAGGCTGAGGAAAAAATGGGACATCAATCTGTGCTCATATTAGACCATGTTTGAATCAAATGCAGCTTTTGTATGCAGCTCTCTGATTTAGTGAGATATAGGCAATAAGAATTTGTGTTTAAAGTCTGGATGAGAGATGGTTTTGATTTTGTTTGGCAGTTTTGGATTTTTAGTGGGTTGTTTTTTTAAGAAATAAAGGAAAACAAAGGCTTGGAAGGAGCCTAAGAGTTATGATTTGAGGCAATGTTGGTGCTTTAAGTTAACCTCTCTCCCCCAAAGCTGTTATTATAATCTAAAATTAAAAATATGTAGAATCATAGAATCATTTAGGTTGGAAAAGACCATTAAGATCATTCAAGTCCAACCATTAACCTAACACTTCCACATCCACCACTAAATGATGTCCCTAAGCACTATGTCTATGTGTCTTTTAAATATCTTCAGGGACATTATAGCCAAAACTTCAATAATCTATACTTAATTCAATAATCTGGGCAGAAGACTAGGTTACAGTAGAACCAGTTATGGGTTTTCCTGTCATAGGCCCACTGCACATCTGATAAAGTGGTAAAGTCCTGTTGGTCTCTGCACATACTGGTGCAAGCACAGAATATGAAGGCGATGGTCCTGTGTGAGAGATCTGATGTACTCTG